TAGCTTTGATACTTTAGAAAAATCTTATTCTGAATTTATAAAGTTTAAAAAAAAAAAAAAAAGCAAAAGCCAGAATGTGTCTATGCAGCAACTGGCATTAATAAGCATACTACCCAAACTGACAATGAGCGGAAAATGTATTTATTGAGATTTTGTACAAGACTCCCCTGTGGAGAGTTGTGGCTAGAGCAACTTTATGGAGTTTTGGTATGGATCCTGCCAGAAAGCATTCTCTAAAGTCTGTACTTGCGGTGCTGGCTAGACAAGAGTGCAGAAGTATAGACTACATATCTTATGAGCATTGGGCTTCCCAGCCAATTTGTGTTTCACCCTCCTTACAGTCAAATAACTTTTTTTTAGAACCTGTATGGGAAGAGCAGAATTCACATAAGCAGCTCCATGAAAAAAGTTATTTTGGCTCAGGTGAGGTTCCAAAGAATTTACTTCTTTGTGTAATAATATTTAAGAACCCAATGGTGACTGTATTACTTGCATTGCCTCCATATTTCTGCTGAATTAAGTGGAGTTTGACCTTCCATAGAAGTCTGAGCATCTGATAATGCTGAAGAAAGAGGAAATCTTACTGGTCATGTGACAAACGTATGTTCAGAAAGTAGAGTCTACCTTTGTATTTTTATAAAATTGTTATGCTTTTTAAAACTTGTTGGCTATTTGATAGCTAAGTTGATGGCTGTTTATGACCTTAGAAGTAGTTTTGAATATGAAGCAATTAGGAATATTTCCAGCTACCTTATTTATTTTAGTTGATTGTTGTGACATTCAGTGGGTTATATTTAATTTCTTATGTGTGGATGCCTCAACTCTCAATGCTTTACTTGATACGTTCTTTCAAATTCATTATTCTTGCATTTAAATACTATATTATAATTGCTAAGAATATTTATTGGCTGAGAGCAGGTATGTGCTAGGTGGAAGGTTTTAAATGAATCAGAAAAACTTGCCTTGGAGAGTGCAGAGTTTTTTTTTATTTTGTTTTGTTTCCTCAACAAAGTTTGGGAGGGAGGTTGTTTATTTGTTTTTCTAGTACTAGAAGGCCTTTCATTACCGTAGTCATGTAACAAACTCATGAATTTTTCTTACTTTAGCCTCCATGGGAAGAGGACTTGGTGGAGAAAGTATTATACAAAAGAAAGGAATACTTGGCTGTTTCGTAAGAGATTAACTCAGTTTACTTGCAGTGTTTGAAAAAGCCATCATACATAAATATTTCACATATTCCACAATAAATCTATATTTCCTGTAAAGAGAATATTTACTTTTTTGGGAATTTGCCAAAAACATGAAAATTCTGACAATGCCAACTATTTGCATGGCACTTTTGTATGTTAACCGATGACCTATTTATTAAAAGTAGCATTTCTCTCAGAACTTTGAGATGTTTTATCCTTTTTTAATGACTTTTCCTGATTTTATCCTGGTAGAGTTTTGCCCAAGAAATAGAACAGCTAGAGCTCTTCTTAATTAAAAATGAATATATAGCATAAAGCCTCAAGTCATTTCATTTTGGGGGAAGGCACACATTTCAGTGTCCCATCAACACTGCGTTTCTATATCACTAAGAAATGAGCAGAATTTCCAAAGAGCAGTACAACCAGGGTGTCCTTAGAAAAAGGTACCAAGTTACATATGTATACATACATATGCATTAACTGAAAGTAAACATTTTTCTCATTGTTTTATGTTTGTTTGTTTTTTTAAGTGAGGATGGTTACTTTCATGAATTTTAAACCATTTGCTTGGTGTTTTGAAAATATGTTTTAAGGACCTGGGTTCAAATTACTTTAGTTAATTACTGAGTTACTTAACAATCATTAAAAAATGTATTCCAGTTGTTCAGATGGGACATAAGTGCCATCATCAATGTAATTCTGAACATATGAAAATCATTAAAAACTGAAAAAAAAGAGGCGAGTTTGCTATTTACACTTGTTATTATCCCTACAGTTCTAAAAAACAAAGCCAACATAATTTTGGTGTGACTGTGAGATGACAACGTTTTTTAACATCTAGAAGTTTATTAAGATCTGTGGGGTGCAATTTCGTTATAGTCGTTAAACGTGTAATATAAACAAATTGTAGTGATGTACAGTGGAAAACAGTGATATGCATTGTTAAAGCATCCAAAAAAAATGTTTTGAACCCAGGAAACTATTAATGGTCTATAGGGTCCTGTTTTGCTCATGTTCATGCGTGTTTTTATCTCTATCAGTCTCATTGAACTGCCAGGTTTCCTGTGCTGAATATAGCAACTCATTTGCAAGATTGCTGCAAGCCTAGAAAAGGTGCAAGCGTATTTTGGATACCTCTGAAGCAGGCTTATGAAGTTTGTTCTGTGTACTCGTAACACTATGTAACAGCCTTTATATAGGCAGTAATTGTTGTTCCCACTTTGCTGCTGAAAGTTATAAATCACTCCTGGGTAGTCCAAGGAAACTGCAGGTTTTTACTACAGGAAAGAGTATTTGCTACATGTGTTTATATTGTTGTAGCTATCTAACCTACAGAATGTTCTTCCTTCAGAAGCAGCGATTCAATTTGCTTTGGCTCTTTCTTTTCTCTTATATATAACATGTCCAGTGCTCTGGATTGTTCTTAAAATAAATGTAGTTCTTAATAAATAGAAGGCCCATGCAGGAGGTTTTGCTTACTTAATCCAACGTAAGCTTTATTTTGTCATCAGCTCTGATGGCTTTCAGAAATAAAAGTTGATTTTCCCCCCCCCTCCCCCCCCAATCTTATCCTTTAAACAGAATACCTCTTTGTTTTAACAGGCAGCTCAACATACAGGCTGGTGGTATTGTATGCTGCTTTAAATGGAGGCTAGAACCAAAATACAGAGGCAATTGCAGGCATTTCAGCTCCAAATGCAGTGTTAAATATCTGGTTGTCAACTACTAGAGAGGAATGTTAAGGACCTCAGTTTTGTCTCACTGTCAACATCCTTGAGCAGATTCTCTTATTCTAGAAATTAATTCTGTTAGTAATTACTAAGTCCCTCTTTAGTTGGGAGCGTAGGTGTCTTCCAACACTGATCTGTCCTTTTACCTCCCACATCAGTACTGTAACAAGGTTGTATGATTCTTTTAACCCCTTTCCAAAAACCTATAGATAGGTCTGTCTGGTAGCTAAACTCTGTTATAACTCCACACTTGTATAATCTTTGCCATAGTTACTGCTTTGAGTTGACTATCTTGCCACGTGGTTTTGGAAAGCAATAGCATAGAATAGCTTGTTTTCATTTACTTGATACTGCAGTGTTGCACATGTTTGCTTTCCGTTAGACATTGGCTTCTGATCAATCTGAAGATAACATTTAATACTTTATTATTTGTAATGGCTTTCAAAAATCTCAATTTCTGAGTTTTCCCATCTGGCATTTTGATGTATTTTATCACTTTTGTATGGCTTTTAACTTTAGGGTGAGATGGATTTACATGTCTAGTTTTTGTATCGGTGTAGTTTTCAAGTGCGAAGATTCCTTTTATGTTGTTCCAAAATGGTAGGATGCCTGTTCATTTCACTTATATATTTCTGTATTTTATACCTGTAATGCACTATGATGTTGAAAGAATACTTTCTAAATCGTCAGTGTGCTAACCAGTTAGTGTTGTTTGAAGTGTCATATCAACGTTAAACAACCACTCCTCATAAAATTCCGAACCATAAATATAACTAATAGTAAAACAGAGGGCGACACAGCAACTGGCTTCTATTTAATTGCATGCTGAGGGTAGCAGAAAGAAGGATTGTTCCCAGCCTTGCTTTTGGTCCAATAAGAAAACAAGGAGTAAAAGAAGTTGAATGATTGAGTACTTCTTAGTAATTAAATAATTGCTTAAAATAACATAGCTAAATTTCTAAAAAGAATGAAAAGAAATGTGTGCTTGCACAAATATGCCTTCAAAATAAAGTTTTCTTTTAGAAATGTTTTCACAGCTCTTTTATTCGCAATTTTTATTTTCATCTCTTTCATCCCTTTTCCTGTGATTTCTGAAGGCTTTTTGGTGATACTAGCTGCAGCCTTCTCACTCCCAAACCCCACAGCTGCGCTGTAGGTATCTCGATCAGATTCGGTCACTGTTGAAACTGGATGTAGTTTTTTAAAACACTGAATTTTGCTCTCTTTCAAAAAAAAAAAAAGCTGATTTTTATTTTTATTATTCTTGTTCTTATTTTAGTGACGTTAAGATCTCTAAATTTAAATTTTGAAAATAATTAATCCTGTTATTTTCTTTGAACTGTGTCACGCATTTTGCCATATCATTCTGAATAACGTATGAGTGCTAGTATGCTCAAAGTATTGAGATGAACATTAGATCCATGGCTCCTTTTCAAGCTGATTTTAGATATTCTTCTTTGAATTGTTAAATAAGTGATCTGATTCTTTTCTTCCTTGCTGCCTATTATTGCATAGAGGCAAGGCCTAAAATTTACTTTTGTGAAGAGGGTCAGCACAACGCCATTGACTTTCTGCCTTTAAGGTAGAACTCAAATGTTATATAGACCCATCATGGCCAGCTGTTGCAAACGGAGTTTGTTGTATTTGATTTAAGACTGTGAGGATGTTGTTTGTAACTGCATCCGTTATGCATAAAAAATAATTAGAAAATGTGCTGGGCCCAAACCAGAAATTGCCCTTGGGGGAAGAAAAGAAAAACTGCTTCTTAGGATAACTGATATTTTAAAATGGACTTTGGATTTGACTCAGTCTGCCCCTAGCAGTCATAACTGACCTTATGAGGGCTTAACATCTACCTTTTTTTTTAGTGTTGAAAATGCTTTTTTTCTTTGAGTAACTCCTTCATTTACCTTTGTTTCATTGTTTGTATTGTATGGCCTTGGTACCTCCCAAATAATGTGTATATATGATCAGCCTCCATGCGTTTCCCTTTGTAAGCCACCCCAGCGAGGTCTAGCAGAAGGTTGAGTTTGACTCTGTACTGGGGGAAAGTTATGAGTGACTTGGGGTTACCTACCACACGCTAGCTAATCCCGACCCAACCTCAGTTTCCCATTCTAAATTGGACAAAACCAAAGCAGTAAATTATTCAGTCTTATTTGAGTAAAAATCCCAATGAGGCCAACTAAGCCTTGAGAAAGTGTGGGTTGCAGGACTTTGCTCTTAGCTTGCATCTGTTGTTCTTAATTAGTGAAACACCATCATACAAAAAAACACAGTTGGTTATTTACCCTGGCCTTGATGCAAGCTCTGCATTCCTCATGTCTTCCTGCTTATGTCAAACCTGTGGGCTTGTTTTGCTCCAGTTGCATTACTTATTTTCTCTCTCTCTTTGCCCCTCCACCCCAGACTGGCAGATAGCGACTCTTGCTCTGCTGCTGGGTGGTGCTGCCATCATTCTCATTGCTTTCCTCGTGGGGTTGATCTCTATCTGCGTGGGCTCTCGGCGGCGCTTCTACAGACCAGTTGCAGTCATGCTCTTTGCTGCAGGTAAGCAGATTACCAGCACAGGTATGAAAATTTCGTGAGAGCAGCTTCACTTCTGTGAAGAAGGATGTGCCTTGTTAATTCAAAGATGTTCGGTTTAACTGTGTTAACTTCTAGGAGGCATTTGCAGGGTATCAATTTTGCAGTGTGTTAATCATTTTGGCAACCGCACTATTAACAGTTCCTAAATATAATGCTAACAAATAATTGTTTACTGTTTTGTGAAGTATATACAGTAGGGGAGACCACAGAAGATAAATCTGAAAGTACCATTTTTAGAATCTGCGACTTTGTGCTGCTTGGTGTCCTCATTTTTATTCTTCATGCAAAGCTCTTTCTGATACTTGAATATCTTTTCCTCTTAAAATTTTAAAACAGGAAAATTAATGCTTAAATGTGAACCCTTAAAGCCCTAAATGTGAAAATAAATAGGATTATGTTGCAAGGTGTTTATATATGTCCCTGTGCCACTGGAGGAATTAATTTCATTGTGTCAGCTTACTTCTTAGTTATTAATTTAACAGCTGTCACACTGTAGTCCCTGTTTGGTTTTAAAAGCATCAAAATGGAACAGTTTATATAGACGATCACAGAATCTGCAGGGAGCTCCATGAATCTGAAACATCCAGAAGACTGGCCTTGTGAGGTATAATTACAATATCAAATCATCTCCTTTTGTACATTCTGGTGTTTTGGGGCTTAGTCAGCACAGGATGTTTCTGTTTCTCCTGAGATTCACCGAGTATGCTTTGCCTTCATCCTGTCAATCATATCTTCATTGGAGCTAGCAGCTTAAGCCGCTTCTGATAGCCCATAATGAAGAGTGTGACAGAATCTAGTCTTCAGGTTGTATTAAAAAAGCCACTCACAAGGAAAAGAAAAGAATAAGAATTCAGAATTTGAAGGGTATTTGAAAATGAAGCAAAGCTCTGGGAAAGGCTCCTGCTGCCCCCTGCTGTTTATATTACTTTGATTGAGCAGCAGTGTTCTAAGATCCACTTTTTATTTGCTCAAAAAATATTAGTAGATCCTATTTCATTTGGCTTTAGAAAAGGAATACAATCTAAGATAAGATTTCTTGAACAGAAATGGATCTTTTTGTTCTAGGTATCACATTGCTGAGTTGAGTTGAATAAGTAAAAGTAGTAGAGACATTTTAAAGTTTAATATTAATTCTAAGATTGTAAAGCATGTCAGGCAGCTAACTTTGAAGAAAATGGGGTTATTGAATTTCTGTACTGGTTTCTTACTTGGCTTTAGACTCAATTTCTCATAACATTGTGTAGTAGTTTATTGACTGTGTAGGCACACACTGCCTTATCTTGTCATATTCCTTGATTAGCAAAACCATAGTTACATTTATATTTAAAAAAAAAAAAAAACCCTCAATTTCCCAGATCCTACTGGTGGCTTCTTAGAAAGAATGGGCTTAATCTATTCTACTGGGTATAAAACTAATTCAAGTAATTATTGCAAAAATTTGGGGGGGGTGTCAATGCTTACCTGCATCAAAAAGATAAATATGCCAGTGCTGTAGCTCACAGGTGGTATTTGCTTCTTTCCTTTGCCTGTGTGCATTTTTAATAGCCATGACCTGAAACATGTTAGAGGGGGAGAGATGCTGAAGCTAAAATGACCTGCCGCGTTGTTTATCGTTATCTGGCAAGTCTGAGGAGAATCCTTTTGGGATTTGATGCTGACGTTGTCAGTGTCACTTCCTACAGATTGTATCTCTGATTTCGGCTATTGTTAGATGTGAATATGAACTGGCATGTCTCAAAAGAATTATGGAAAGAATGCCCTACTGAAGAGGGGAATGTCAAGGTTGCAGGGCAGTAGTGTTTGTGCCTTATACAATGGTCTATAAATTCAAATGTTCACCTATGAATTTCACAGAAGATCTTTTGAAGTTAGAGAACACCTGTCCCTTTAATCTATGACATCACAAAATATTTTGTATAATTCTATTTAGGAATGCATCCCTCTGCCTGCTTCTGGTAGAGGGACACAGGGTGGATTGCCCAGAGACATTAATGGTCTGCGTGGGTGTAAGGTAGCAAAGATCGCTGTGTGGGAGAAAGAACAAAACGGAAAAGCGGCCTCCAGGCACTTCAGAGTCTGAACATTTGGCTCCAGGCATTTTTATTCTTCTAGTTTTTCCTCCTCTCTCTGCACTTCAGGTTTCAGTTAGGAAATCTGTGTGTAGGTGAAGAGGAAGAAGGAAGAATGGTTAGGTCTGGGAGAGATGAGAAAGCGAAGGGACAAAAAGTAGTTGAGCCCAGATACTGAGAATAAGCCAGCAACTGATTGACAGGTGTGAATGTGTTTAAGTACATACTATCAACTCTGTGTAACAGGATTATTTCCTGAGTTCTGTGCTATTAAATATTTTCGTAATGACATGGTAGAATAAAAAGTACACTTGCTAAATTTGCAGTTACAATGAAGCTAGGAAGAATTGCAAGGTACTTTCAGGGACAGAATCCAATTTTAAGAAATTGGAGGAATGGCCTGAGAAAACAGGATATAGTTCAATAGGAAGTAGTCAGGGAGGCAAGAAGAATTATAGCATCAAAGAGATTCTGTTTGGCGGGGTACTCTCCTAGTCATCTAGTCCATCTCCTTCCTCAAAGAGGACTATCTCTAATAGGTCAAGTTAGCTGCAGCTTTATCTAGAGGAGCCTTGAAAAAGTCCAAGGATGAAGAATCTGAGCATGCTGTCCTAATGCTATGCTGCCCTCCTGATGAGTATTTTTTTCCCCCAATGTCCTTCCTGAATTTCTCAAATTGATATGTGGCCATTGCCCAAAATTATCTTAGGTTGTCTGGCACTACCAAGAAGAGCTGGATTCTATCACCTTTGCAGCTATGCTTTCCGGTAGCTGTAGGCTGTTCTGAAATTGCCTCTCAGCCTCATCTTCACAAAACTAAATAAACACAGCTCCCTCATCCTGTTCTTATGGATCATGTGCTGTAGGCTTCTGATCATCTTGGCAGCTCTTGGACCTTTGCGCTTGATAAATCCAGCTTGTCCTTGGAGATGGACTCCAAGAGGATGTACTTTGTAATCTGTCCAGGGATTGAGGTGAGGATGACCAACCTGTAGTTGCTGTGGATTTTTTCACTTCTAGCCTTTTTAAAGACAGGCACATTAGCTGCCTTCAGTCAGCAGGGATATCTCCTGATCACTATAATTTTCACAGGTGTCACATTAATTATAATTTTCACTCAGTCACATTGGCCAGCTCTTTCATCACCCTTATGTGAATCCTGTCCGTCCCATGGATATGAATATGAGTCTAAGTCATTCCTACCTCAGTTCCCATACTGCTGGCTGCCCTTCTCCTTCCCAAACCATGTCACTCAGAGGTCTTGGAGAAAGCTTCATGTTGCATCATCTGTACTAGTCTGGCTTCCCCATCCATCAGTGGACCCATATGTTTCCTGAACTTGCTTTTGCAACTAGTGTATGTGTAGGTTTTTTTTTTTTTTAAATACTCTTTATTACCCTTTTTGCTGTTTGCTAGCCTTAGCTCCAGCTGGGATTCAGCCTTCCTGATTTTGTGTCTAAGTATCAAAGCAGTGATTTTATACTCCCTTTTTGTTGTCTATCCTTGTTTCTCCCTCTTGTATGCTCCTGTTTTGGCATGTTAGGTCACTGGGAAACCCCCTGCTTGGCCAGCTGGGCTTCATGCTGAAATTTCTGGTCTTTCTGCATGTGGTCTGTGTTTCTGCAGGTGGTTTGTTTCTGAGCTATCAATATTTTAAAAATGAGCCTGGACACCCTTCCTCTTCGTGCTGCTTCCCAGTTAATTGCATAGTTTTTATTAAGTACAAACAACTGCCTAGATAGTAGTTCTGAGGAAAACAGTATGAAAATGAGTCAGCTGGAATTTGTGCATGAATCAACATTGTGGTGAAGTAATCCTCCTCAGCTCAGTATTGGTAGGCATTGACTGGCAGGCATAATACTGTATCTAAATATGAGCACTGGACTTGAAGATGGATGTGGACCAAGTGGAGAGACACCACCAGAGAGCATCAAGAGTGTTCAGAAAAGTGTAATCTAAGTAGAAAGTTTGTGGAAAGAGAAGACAGACAAGACACATGCCAACAGTCTTCAATTACATGTGCTACAGAGAAGAAAATAACTAGTTACTTTTTTAGAAATAGACTCTTAAGATTTAGCGTAGTGTTTTTTAAAGAATCTCTTTTTCTATATTTTATGTTTTCTAAAATTAAATGTGGAGTTTTTTTGTAAGAATAGAGTAGCAGTTGAATAGACTTTCTGGATAGGTTGCAGCCTTTTGTAGAGGAGATGCTAGAAAGCAGACAAACCTCTATCCAGAATGATGTAGGTGCAGTTGAATTTATCTTAGGGGAAGGAGTCAGCCATCCAATACCTAGAAGTCCTTTCCAGCCATAGTGTTTCAGAGTGTTGTAGGGTTCTGTAGCATTTCTCAACAACTCTTGTCCAGGCAGTTTGCTATTTATAATCTGTTTTGCGTGTGTGTTAATCTTTGAAATTGCAACACCCATCAGATTATTAATAAAGTGGGTTAAGCAGAACAGGAGGAATGCTACAGAGAACTGGAATACAGAACTTACTGGCCAGCATCTCCATTTTCATGTAGACTGAATAAAAAGCTGCATTATAAGGGGTTTTTAGAAAACAAGGCTGCTATACTATAACATTTGAAGGTCGGGGGGAAAGGTGACTGAAATTATATTTTCCCTGTTTTAAAGTGTTTGCTGTGATTTTTTGCATGCTTGATATGGTGAGTACATATAATTGTATATATTTTATGCAAATGGAATAACACCCATGCAATTGTCTTGCAAGCCTCATAGCATTAGTCATGAAAGTGGACCTAAACTTAAAGTGAACAATGCGGTTTGAGAAGACTAGTCTTTTTTCAGTAGCATTTTATTTTAAGTTTTCTTTTTTCCTACAGGAAAAAAAAAAGTATTTCTGAAGAAAGGTAGTATATATGCTTCCCATAAACAGGTTAGCATAGCATATAGTCGCCTTAAATTAACTGGAAGCAGATCAGTAGTTGCAAGTGTTGGTTTTAATATCTCTTTGGATCGTCCTCATCACTCTTCATAACTTTACCAACTGTTGCCTCTAGCTCACACTGGTCCCTTTCCACTTTACAAGGAGCAACAACAACAAGAGACAAAAATAGGACAAAGTGACAGCAATGTTGATACTAGCACTTCCTTTGAATTTTTCAATAGTGTAGCAGGACCAGTAGTAGCAAAAGTAGGAAAGCTCGCTATAAAAAATCTAGTCTATCTGTTGTAGGTATTGCTCCTTTAACCACAGGTTCCTCTTCCAACAGAATTGGTTTGCTTGTTCTCTTCCCCCCTCACCCCCACTTCTTTTGCAAGTCCAGTCCGTAGATTAAAATACGATACACTTCAGATACTACATTGAGGGAAGATGGAGAGCTTCCTTGGTTGGAAATGAACACCCCCCCCCCCTTCTCACCAGTTTCTGTATCGACTCCACAGAGATGCTGCAGCCCTAGTTCAGGAAGCCACTAAAGAACTTGGTTATATCTATCCATCTCTGGAAGTCCTCATCGACTTTGAATGGTCTTAAAGATGTGTTTCCAAGCTGAACATATGTTCAGGTGTTTTTTTGTGTAGTTGTGCTCTCATACAGAATTAGAATGCATAATCTTTTCATAAGAGTAGGAGCTTTCCCTAGTGCATCCTATCAAAATTTTTCTAGTGTTACACAATACTTTGAGGTTGGCAGAGAAAAAAAAATATATTAAAGTGGAATAACAAGAAGTAACACTTCAATAACTTTAGGGTAAAAAACTCTTACACCATGGATTTTGATATCCACAGCAGAAAAACTGCTATCCAGACATTACTCAGATTGTCAGGCTCCAGTGAGAGTCCAAGGACTAGCCCATAGACTAATTGGACAGGGGAAAAAAGAACAACGGTATATAATGAGTCTTTTGTAGAGTGATATCACTGAGGATGTTTGAGTATTGGAAGTCACCTCCCCATACCATTTCCTATCCAGAGGTGAGCAGAGTGTTAGTCTCCAGGGCTACTGAAAGGTGCCAGTTTGACAACACTAAAGAGTGCCTGGGGGAATGAAAAGGCGAATGACAGATTTCTGGGGTGCAAAAACTGTTGAAGCAACAGGAGAATATCACTGACATCTTATTTTGCTGTAATTTCTCAGTGTAATTTCAGAAGGGCTTCTGTAGTCCAAAGCACTCTTCCTTTTTATTGTTCAGTGGCATTTTGTATTGGCACTGGCTTTATAAAAACTCTCTAAAGACTGTTCTTACTTTTTACAATACCAAGTAAACTGTAAAAAATGACCTAGTCAGTGTTAAAGAAAGTAGTTGTTATGGCATTCCATTACATACCATTGAACTTTCATGAGAGTATGTCTCAGCCCTGCAAATACTTAAGCACGTGCCTAACTTTGTGGCTGTGCTTATCCTGACTGTAAGCATATGGCTACTTGTTTGCAAAATGAGTTGTGTGCTGAAGTCTTTAAAAAACAATAGCATTAAATGCTGAAAGGAGGGAGCATTGTGATAAGGTCGTATCATGTACTTCAGAGGCAAAAAGGTTGTTGTGTACACTGCTGTGGTGTATAGCCAGTCATTTGTGGATGGTAGAACTAGAAGCCTAAAGAATCATTAGGTCATATAGCTTGTTCTTGTCTTCAAACTAAGTGCAACTTTCACCTGCTTGCCCTGGAGACTGTTGTCCCAATTATACTATTTATATAGCATTATCTCTGAATTTAAAGGCAACGGAAACCAGTGAAACTGAATTCTTCATGTGAAAATTGGGATTTTTCATTGGTATGTTCTCATTTTAAGGTTACTGTATTTGTTGTTTGGATGTAATACATTAATCAACCAGGTTTAGTGGCTTCTACTGTAGGAGTGTGGGTCAGGCTGCATGAAATCTCCTGGCTCTCTGGGATAGTATTTTAGAAGGTAATGATAGATAAAATCCAAGGCAGGAAAAAGCTTATGTATCTGCTTTATTAGCTTTTTTTCAGCATGAGGCATTTCTGCCCCACCCTCTAAATTCACAGTATAAGGAAATGTTTTTACCACTCGAAAGTTTAGTGACTGATAAAACTTTATGGATTCCTTGGTATCCATGTAATAATATCATTAATTCTGAATGCAGTAATGCATGTGAAATATATGTAATTCAGTGAGACTGCACTAAATGTAACGATGTACACCCTACTACAGTGAGTTATTACTAGGTCAAGTAAAACGATTTGTTTCTGAGCTATATTTCTTAATATTCCTTTATGCTTCCTGTTGATTGTTTTGACTTATAATAGCTATAGGACTAGTGATCTTTGTTTTGTTATTATAGAAGGATTAATTACTCTGGACTACTGGAGAGTGGGAAAAGAATTGTGAAAAGACTACTTTTACTATTTGTGCCCTGGACTGTTGAAGGATCATAACTGTACCATCGCAATAACCTTTGTTCATGTACAAGTGAATATACAGAAACTGCTCTGCGTGGGTGAAATGAATGTTATGTTTTCTTCACAAAGAGCAGTGACTTCTAAGTTAAAATTGTACCAAGAGCATTTTAAAACCGGAATTTCACTAATGTGGTGATATCCTTGTTTTATGGAAGTGAATTGAGGTCTCTTCTGACACTTGGTTTGTTTCTCTTTCAGTGGTTCTTCAGGTGTGCAGCTTAGTCCTTTACCCGATCAAGTTCATCGAAACAGTCAGCTTGAAAATATACCATGAGTTCAACTGGGGCTATGGCCTGGCTTGGGGTGCAACTATATTTTCATTTGGGGGTGCCATCCTTTATTGCCTGAACCCTAAGAACTATGAAGACTATTACTAAATGATTTAATGAAAGGAAATATAACAACAGGATTACTCCATCTTTTCTAACTCACAGGTTTTTTTTAGAACACTGTGGAGCACCAGTCTCCTCTGTTAATAAAATAGCCTTGCCTTTTGGGTGTGAACACTATAACCAGCTTTTACAACCATTTAAAAGAACTGCGAACACTAGGATTGCTGATCTTACATAGGCAGATGCTGCAAGCTGCTGATACATAAGCTTCGTTTTTCCTGACAGCAAGCAAAGGATCTACATGACAGCGATCATTGTGAGAATGAGAAAGCAATGCCTGCATCTGCCCTTGCCTTCAGGGGAGCAGCTGGTATAAGCTCCATTTAGAAGTTTCCCTGTATCACAGAGGATTCAAACGTTCGGATAAGCAGGCAATGGCATCTTGTACAATAGGCTGTCTTGGCCCCTTGTTACTTGCTCAAAAAAGCTCTTAAGGAATTAGTTGCAAGTGACTGTGCTGAGGGCAGTGAATGTAACTGGTTAATGACTTGTCTAATATCTGCATTCAACAGGCTTCTGGAGGGGGAGGGGGGAACAAACAGGATTTCATGAATTGGTAATCACCATTACCCTGCCAGCTGTGGCAGATAGTTGAAGGAAGTCCAGACTTGGAGTCATGTGCTTCTGTCTACATGGTCGGAAGCTGTCTCAGCTCCGAGTATTTCTGGGACAGGGTGGAGATAAGGGGGAGCAGAAGACGACCTCATATATCCTTGAGGCATCTAAAAATGCATGAATGAATTGCAATTGTCCAAAATGCACATTTAACGTCCAAACATCATGATGAAAAAATGCATATGGAACAAGTTCAGCTATATTTTTTGGAAGGCATTTGTTTGTATAAATGGATATATACAATACAACTATAAATGCAGAGGGAGAGAGATAATTCATCTTAAAATTGTAATATGGGCTGTGATACAGTGGTTAAAATACTAATTTTGTATACCTTCTGAAGCAGCTTGGACTGGTACTCCCTGTTTTGGTTGATATTACAAAATAAACATAAAATGGTTTGTCTTTTGTTTATGCCCTTGTACAAACTCTGTATCATGGGAAATGCTTCAAAGTTCACATCAAGTTAAGGTAGAAATGGATGAAATAAGTACTTGCTATTCCATATGTAATCTAGTACTTATTAGAAACTGTTTTTTAAGGCTGTTGCAAAGAAAAAACTGCCATTTTTTAAAAATATAGCTAGGTTATGAGTGTCTCCAGTCATCAAGAGCATAGCTGAGACCCGATCATGTCCATATTCAAACATTATCACAGCAGTAGGTAATCTCATTTTTTAAAGGCCAGGTTTATAATGGATTTGCTGATGATTAAGTACATCTAATTACTCTTTGCTTAGTATGTTTCCCACTTAAAACGTCCAGAGACTGTACAAATTAAATGCAGTCCAAGTTAAAATAGGGAGAACTTTTAAATGAATTTAATCTGCATCACTTTTATTTTTGTTTGCTATTTGCTTATTTGGATATTTTCAATTAATTGTGAACATATTTTTATACAATTCTAATCTTTAGAAATAACTATTTTTTTTAAAGGAGAAATTTAAAATATATTCTGTATGGACCTCTGCAAAAACCGATACCCTGGGGCTGTAAATTCACCTGCATACAATGGTTTTGCTGGTTCCACAGAAAAGACTGCTGAATATGTTAAGGCAATGTCTACAGTGTTAATATATGTGCCACAGTTCATAGGGAGAAAAGATTCTGCAGTGATTATGGAACCAGAAGACTGCATTTAGCAAGTTGTTTGGAAAGTATTGCTGAAATACAGAGGTGATTTTTAAAACTCTGGGCCTCTCTGGAATTAAATCCTTACTCTCATCGCAGAACTTTCTGCATCAGCATTCTTTCCTGGGCCAGCGGCGATTAATTAGATTAGGATGACGGAGCGAAACGAGAGCTTCACTTAGAAATGATTGTGCGGCAATGCCTAGAGAACAAAAGGAATGGAAGGAAAAAATACTTCTGTTTGCTTCACAGGCATGAGAGAGCATTTGTAACTCTACCTTTTCTTCCTGAGACTCATTTAAGGCAGATACCTGGTATATAGTTAACTCTATATCTTTCTGGACAGCTGTGCAGTTCTGCTTTTATTTAGCAGCATGAAGAGCATTGTAGTTTGGCATGGGAATTAGGTTAACGTAAAGAAGTCCACTGTGAGAAGGTGCCTGTACCTTTCTAAGGGAGTGGTACTTTGGTGCCGACGTTGTGCGGTGCTTTGCCTATGCTGACCAGAAGCAGCAGTACAGTGCTGAACCCCTATCATACCTACGAATCTTACCAAATCTATTTTCTTGCTTTATGTGGAGTTTGAGGGGGGAAAAAATAAATGTCAGGCCTAAGGCAAATGTAAATTCATTACATGAACACTGAAAGTCACATGATTCTCAATTTGAAAGATGATCAGGAAAACAATTCACAAACGTAAAGGCCTAAAGACAAGGTTTGTCATTCATATTTCAGCATATAAGTCAGAGGTCTGATTTTTTCAGAGAGTCTGAACACCTTCTCTTGAAGGTGGTAATGCAATCTTTTAGGACACACCTCAAACTCCTCAGGTCATCATTTGGGTATCTAGACTATGGATGTAGGTACCTACTTTTAGCTAATGTTGTTGCTTTTATTTCTTTTTTTTTTCTTCTTTTTCCCCTGTCATTGCCAGTTTGGGCAAGCATTTTGTTTTTCAGCAGTGAACTAGAAGTAAATACAATGTTACACTGAAATATATTTTTTTCTAGCCACAAAAAAAAAACACTTCTGTGTCTGAGTGTACCTACAAAAAAAAAATTTTGTTTGTTATACTTGTATAATGCCTTCACTATTTCAGTTGTGTTTGGCTTTAGGGGGATGATTTTTTTTCACACAGCAAACCCATTGTTTATCTTCCAAATATATATGAATAAATATATATATATAGCAAACTTGCAAGCAGGGCTAGTTATTTGTATTTTTTAAGCTTAAAGTATACCGTCCGGTGCTGACAAGTACCTAGCACCTCTTCTGGATTTCTTGCACAAGTTCGTTTAGCTTTTGTAAATTTTAAAAACAAATATAGAAAGACCTATGTGTTTGAAATATAAATGATATATATGGATTAGCATGTAACTGTATATTATTAAACATGCAATGAACTGACTGGTAAGTGAAGTCTAATCTTATGGCTAGCAATGTAATTTATTCAGACTGTATTTTTGTACAGAGCAGTGCACACTAACCTATTGCCTCTGTGTCCTCTATAATGCCTAAAACTGTGCCTAGAGATCTCATTTCTGTCTTTAACAAACAGATGACTAAATGCTTCATGTTGTTGATGGTATTGGTTTTTCTGATGTTGTTCTTTAATTTATTTTTTGAGAAGCGTACAGTATGTTTATTAAATGATTCCATCAAAATATGGCTCATTTTTAATGGTCATTGTTAGCAGGGAAACACACGTTTTTTATCAGAGCTTTTAAGTTTGCAGTTTTAATACCATTTCTGCATTTCACACTTTTTGTAGCTTACATGAAGTTATATGTGAAAATAACTAAAATAAAAAAAAATTGTTACACTAACAAAATGTGCAAGTATTCTATTCAGAGCAAAACAGGTACAACTGAAACAGTTTTATTTTCACGGCTAATGAATATACCTGGTATTCAGTTACTGTACTAAAGATTTCTTACAAAATACAGAGAGTGAAAAAGAGCTCGCTCGTTCGCTCGCTCTCTCTCTATATGCAGGTTCTAGCCTGTGCCAGTCCTCCATCCCAGTTGGCCATGGGATAGCATAGGATAGATAGCTGGGCATCACACAGTCTGTAATGGCTTTATAAAAATGCAATTATTATAGTATTAGAAAACTAAATTGCTTTTAGTGTAGTAAATAACAAAGTAATGTATTTAAATTGGAATCTATGCTGAGCACCTGGTTTGAATGGGGAAATGCATTTATCATATACAGATTTCTTTTCATATTTCAAATAATAGAAATACTTTTTTCTGTTTTAAGTTTGAAAGCTGAATTGCTTTTCACCTTGGAAAACCACGTGTTTTCTCTGAACATGAAGTGTGGTGGTGTAAAAATGGGAAAATATGTTTTGAACACCAAAGCCATTGGATACTGTGTTCTCTCTACGGTTAGGGAGGCGGTGTCATCCTCCTGCATCACTGGGTGCAGCAGACAACAGTTTGAAGAAGGGACTGCCAGCAGAAGGTGATGGGAAAAGCAGAGGCAGAAGGTTGTAGCTTGAGTGGAGTATTGCAATGAATCAGTACAGGCAGGAGGATATCGAACACAAGATGGAAATCAAATAAGGGGACAGGAATTAGAGAGTGAGTGCGATGGGGGTGAGGGGAAGGAGTGGGGTTATCTAAAGGTTTGCTTTCTTTTTAAATTGAGGTACAATGAGGTAGGAAGTTCATTGGGGCCTAGGACTGCAGACACTGGAGAGTAAGTGAGCAAACCAGGGATGATGGAAGGTATATATTCTTAAAATTTGCATTAAAAATGCTGGTCATAGTGGGTATGACTTTAGGGAGCATATTATGTGGATTTAACCTTCTGCTTAAGCCCAAGTTCTATGTTAGCTGTGAACCTACATGCTGGCACAAGGTGAGAGAGGTCACTGACTTACCAGGGGAATAAATTAAGCACAGGATGAGATGCCTTATTTGAACATCGTTTTTCTAAACGTACTGAGCGATAGGAGCACTGACCTAATGTGAGCTGGCTTGTCCCTGGCGTACCAAAAATACCCCAGCAGACTTGACAGTCTTGATCATATCTCACAATGTGTTTTTTGGCATCTACCATAAACATAGGCCTGCGCTGTACAGTTGAACCAGGTGAAGTGTAACTGCAAGTATAGCATGTTGTGAATGAGAGAAAACATGTGGAGGATGGTGTATGAGAGAGACCAAGTTTGTTCCTACCAAAACGCAGTTTGGACTCAAGTGGAACAAGCCACAGAGACCTTTGTGGAAACAAATGGCTTGAGGTCTGCAAGTAACACTGAAAACCTCAGAATACGTACTCAAAGGAACATAGCCAAAGCAATGTAGATTAACCCATGCTGAGAGGATGTCTTCCTGATTTAAGTACTTAAATAAATGTAAAACTCTTTGTGACCTTACAAAATCTTATTTTTCCTTTTAAGTTGATCTCTCTGATGTTTGTGAGTAGGTGGGGATTGTAATGCTCATTTGTTTCTGTACCTTTAAGGGCTACTTCCCAAGTGAACATTTTTATGTTAAATGTCTAGGAGTGGTGGGATTTTGAAAATACATAAGATTCATCTGCCACATTAGTGACTTCTTGGCACTCACTTTATGCAAATCAGTACTCTTGGGCTTTTCAAACAGACAGGAACTTCAAAGAGGACTTCAAATCTTCTAGGTATCCAGAAAAAGGCAGAGACTGTCTGGTATTTAATGAGACAAGCATTACAACTTCCAGGAAGGTTAAGTTCTGTGATTTCCTTTTATTAACTTAATACCACCACCAAGTTTTTTGATTTATGAGGAGAAACACTGGATGCAAACATAACTAGTGCCAGTGTTCTGTTAAACCTTACAGAAGTAGGTGAAAACAGTTAATACTGCAGTGCCTCATTAAGAGCATGGTTTGAATGTGATTCACCCACAATAAAATAAATGTGCAATCTAATAGGCCACTGCCTGCTGTTAGAGTGCATGCTTTGATTGTGATATAGAAAATTCTCATTTCTTTATATAAGAAAAAAACACAAAGAGTATGTTAAGCAGTAATTGATAGCAGATATTGTTGATTTTACTCGCCCTCCTTCCTTTGCTTGTTCTTTTCTTTTGCTTTTTTTGGAGCCACGATGTCGCATTATCTTATTGCGGTACAAGATAGCTGGTAGAATAAATGAAGTAATATGGTGGGCCTGTCTTTTCATGAGAATCTCTAAGCGCACACAGCTAGAAAGCAGATATTCATGGCAGGCAGGAGCAGTGGACACGTTATTACTGATGATGGGTTTGTCTTGTTGGAAGCAACAGATAAATTGTGATTTCTGTGTTTCAGGATAGGTATCTGAGTTAGGTTTGGTTCCTGCATTCATTGCAGACTTTTTGCACAGCTATCTTGCAGCTTCCTTCCCCTCACCTATAAGATGGCAGGTAATAATGCCCCTTTTCTCAAAGAGGCTGAGGGGCAGTATGGCTGAACACCTGAAGTGTCAGTGTTGTGTGACAGCTGAGCTGTTTTATATATCTGTTCATGTTTACTATAGTGGTACCATATATATATGTGTGTGTGCGTGTATGTATGTGTATCACATCATGCTGAAGAAGCTGCAAAACAGGGCAGCAGGGAGGGAAGTTGCCACTTCACCTTTTGCCAAAAGCTGAGCTCTGGATCTAGCTCTCTTCTTCAAGGAGACTGGCCTTCCCTTGGTTCGACTCAGCACATATGACTTGGAAAACGTTTTTGAGTTCAGAGTAAGATGAACAAAGTGAGACTGTTGTTCCACTGGAAG